TCAGCCCTTAAATAAGGTATAGTAGAGGTGGAGCCAGGCTCTGCCCCTTCTGATCACACAGGTGAATTGCCTTCACCTGTGCTCCCACAGCTGACTCATTGCTTGCCTCGGGTGATCAATCAGAGGTTCAGGCCGTGATTCAATATTTCCCATACAGCATACTATCACATCTCAGCCTGCAATAGAAACAAATGAGTTGTTGATTCCTTTCTTTCTCAAAAGAGTTGGGCTGGGGAGAACCAAAATATTAAGGGAAATACTTCAGGTGACTTTTGCATTTTAAAAACAGTTCTGAGTGAAGAATTTGGTGCTGATTAAGAGTCACGTTTATTAACAGTCATATTCCTACAACTTGAAACCCTCTGTCTACTAGGACAAAGGAAGCGTGAGTCAAAATTTATCTGTCCATTACATTTTTCAGTTCATTTCCATGTCCTTGGATTCTTTGCCTGTGTACTGAAATAATAAGGATCCCATCTGTAAGAATTTATAAGAATGTAGCTATAATATCTGTTGTTTGTAAAGTTTCTACTACCATTTATCATCTACTGCTTACACTGTATCACGGCAAAAAGGAGGAATGATGGAATTATACCAGAAAATGCAAATTAGAGAAAAGGAGGAAGATAATCAAAGATCCCAATCCATCAGAAAATATGCATGTATAAATGAGTATTCTCCATCAATATCCATGGGCTCTGAATCATCTTTTGAGGAAGTTTGCTCCTTTTTAAATCTGATATTTATTCACAACTCAGGTATGCTTATGACTAAATAGCAAGAAATCTTACAGTTTCTAGATAGCATGAGTATCGAAACAATGCTTCGTATTTTTTCTGAGTATATTATTTCCTGAGTATGTTTAAATAAGACATTCTATCAAAATCAATGATCTATGCAAAACTATAAAGGTCACTCATCTTATTTTCCATATTTGCTAACTTCTGTATTGTCTCACTTAACCGGTTAAAAAGATGATGATGAGAAAAGATGATGCTGCCTACTATAGAAATATGGCTATCAAAATATGTCATGCCTTTAGAAAACAATCAGAAGGCTTATTATTCTCATCATTTACTAGCAGGAAGAAATAGAAGGAGAGAATTAAAAATAGATTAGGTCACTTGAGAGATGTCAGAGTATCTTTTTTTCTGCCCTTATTTCAATGTAAGGTCTGTAAGAAAACAGAAGAAAAAAGGAAAGAAAGAAAAAAGTGAAAATCAGTCTCTATGCCTAGAGATGAACAGGCCAGACAGGAAAGCCTATGATGAAGTGTCATCTGCTAGCACAAGATTGTTTCCTGAGCTGGAACTATCCCAGGCAATGGGCTTTTACATTTTAACAGTATGTATTGTTGGTCTATGGTTCGCTAGTGATTAAAATATATCTTTTTCCTCTTAGACCGTTCTAGACTTTCTTCAGTTTTAGCACCCAGTTCCTTGCTGTTAAGTACTTCTGTCTTTCCAGATGGTTCTTCTTTCCTTGGTATTTTTATCCTTTCTATATGAGACTGTCAGAGCCTCTCAAACTTGGCTTACTGCTGTTCTGACTGGAGTCAATATGTAGAGTGCTCTATGTTACAGCTTTTTGTTTGTTAAAGTCAGTGGATATGGCTGTTTTCCTGACAGGTGCTATGGAAAATCTGAACTGTTGTTTTTGGATTCAACTTTGTATGGAAATTTACAATTGCTTGTGTTTCTTGGCAACTGGAGCAGCAAGAAAGAAGCTCTCACATGCAGAAAATCAGCTATGACCTTGTTTTGGAATTTAAAACACAGTGACACAAACTGTGTCAGAAAAAAAAGAAACAGGAGAAGAAAAGTAAAAAGAAAAATGAAATCATCAGCTCACATTCTCACAGTTTCACAAGCAGTAAACACAATCTTTCCCACTGTAATGGTAATGTGAAAAAATCAAATAGGGTAATAGTTATTTTCCAACAATAATGCTGGTGTTGATTTTCAGTCAGCACAGCCTATGCCAACATCGTGCCTAATTCAGCCATTTTTAAAGGTATTGAGCTCAAATTAAAATCACTCTCATGTAGGCAGTTCTATTTGCCCCTACACAACCTGAGCTCCTCCCACTCAACTCTGCCTGAGAGTGGAACTATTAAGAATTCAGTGACTACCCCCAACATCATGATTCAGATTCTCAAGGAAGCCTTCCTCAGAGAAAGGGAGAGCTTGCTTTCAAGTGCCTTTCCACACTTGTTTCAAAAGTCTTGTTCACATTACAATGGAGTCATGTCTAAAATGAGGAGAACAAAGCAAATTATATCACATCTGTAGTCCAGGAGCTTGGTCTCGCAATCATAAATGCAACCTTATTTCTCTTATTTCCTGGTACAATAAACATTTTACTCTTAAGAATAATACATTGCACTTTTTCCTTTTGTGCAAACTCAGAAAATCTTGTTAGTTGAACTAACCCTTGATAACACAGAATGAAAAATCTTCCTTTTTCATAAATAGTACACATTTTTAAGAAACTGCCCAATGAAGGAATATGGAATTTTATTGCTATGACTGTTATATCTGTACCTTAGATTATCTCCTGAGATGACCAGTTTGAGATTATTCAGAGAGGAACACAGTGTTTTTCATTACTTCTGATAGTGACTGAGATGTTGACAACAGACCCCCAAGATTTTTCTATAATAAGTTTCCGTGAGAGAATGAGAAAATCATCATAGCTTCCTGGATGAATAAAAAATGCACAGAAGCAAGAAATCTGCATCCTTTCCTCAGAGAAGACCAGGAGGGTTCAAGAACTCTGCTCTGCCAGGAGCTTGCTGCTACTTGTTCCAGAGCTACCTTGGTGACCTTCCCATGCAATTCCATCTTTCCTGAGCAATTTTATGTCCAAGCATCACTTTTTGAGTACCAGTGATCTCAAGTCTCTTGTGGAACAAAAGGATAAATATGAGCGTCAGAGTCCTGACCATAGTAGGAGGCTCTGCAGCTTCTTTGCCCACAACCAAAGTGGTTCATTTGTTTGGGCTGAAGGCCATCTCTGATGTAGCACAGCCATCTAATCTAGGGCCAAACTGCTAGGAAAAGAGTTGTGTGGAAAACTGGGATAACTCTCTTCAAAAACATTCCCCTCCTTGACTTGGGAGTTGCACTAAAGGCCCTTGGTCTTTGCCTGAGCTATCTGTAGATAGGTCTGTGCCACTCTGATGCCTTGGTGGTTCTGACCCTGTCTGACTCACTTGATTTTCCAGCTTGACTTCAGTCTTGCCTTGTCCCTGCAGGTTCTTCTCCGCCAGTCTGCAATCTTGGCAGGTTTGGCTTAACATCTCAGAACTAGCTGTGTGCTTTATATTTGATACTGAGGGACTGCGCCTCACTGGTGTAGATAGCACAGAGAAGAAACCTGACAGAGGAATTTTTAAGAGCTAAAGTCTCAGCTTTGCCAGAAATAATCTTAGATTTTAAACATTCACGCTTGTAAGTTTTGTCAAAGCCAACATTATTTGGTTGTGTCTGAAGAACGAGAGAAAGACAGATGTGTATGTGAGAAGCAGGAGCCATGAGCTGAGGAAGCCTGGAAATGAATTCAAATTGGATTAAATTAAGGAATGCAAACTAATGCATTGGAGAAAAATAATCCTACCTATACTTGCACAGAGATAGATTTATCATTACCTATTATGACTGGGAAAGAAATCCTGCAGTTTCTGCATTTAGCTCTTTGAAAACATCGGTGGAAAGAAAAGAGCAAATCAAATGACAGAAATTACTGAGAAAGGAGGAAGTAGCAAAATAGGAAACACTGCTATGCTCCAGCATCAATCCATGAATAGTGTGTGCAACTTTAGTTCCTTTACCTCTAAGAAGATGGAGTGTAACTTAAACAAGAAATAATAATGGAACAAACAAATAAACAAAAAACAGAAAAAGGATGATCTCTTTCTTGCAGTAGCCTTGATATGGTAGCAAATATTTACATGATTTTTTCAGTGGCCCCAACATTCTTATTAATGGTTTCAATCCCTTTGAAGCTAGCTGGCTGTGAGCAGAACTCTGCGTTGGGTTTTCAGCACTTTGGGTTTTCTCTGCAGGCAGTTAGACAGAGGTCCTTACAGTATTCTTGAGGCAGTTTTGACAGCTTTGTCTAGTCATGATTAGTGCTTATTTTAGACAAAAGTATGTCAAACATATAGCTAGGAAATTGCTGCAACCATCTGTCCACACAAATAAACTTTCCATTTTTTCATTTGTTTTGCCAGCCAAAGAGCCATCAGGACACAAACTTTTATGTCCCATATGGACCTCTCTCACGCAGATGAGAAAATGGAGCTGTTTGAATTACCACGGATGTGGACCACGACTGAAATGACAAACCTTTCAGTCATATGGATTTTCTGATTTTATTGCAAGATAAATATATTCTTTCTACTTCCTCAGCATTGGTGCAGCCATACAGGGATTACTGTGACAAGTTCTGGGTTCCCAGTAAAAGAGAGGTGTGATCATAATGGACAGAATCATCAAAGTGCCACAAAGATAATGGGAACTGCAACATGCCTACTATGAGGAGAGGCTGAGAGAGCTGGGGCAGTTCAGCCTGGAGAAGAGGGGACTTAAGGGGATCTCATCAATGTCTGTAAGTACCTGAGGGAAGGTGCAAGGAAGGCAGAGCCAAGCTTCTTTCAGTAGTGCCCAGCGCCAGGACAAGAGGCACATCTGAACAGCAGGCAGCACTTCTGTGCTGTGCAGGTGACGGAGCACTGGCACAGGCTGCACAGAGGCTGTGGGGTCTCCTCCTTGGAGGTCTCCAGAAGCTGCCTGGCCGTGGGCCTGGGCATCCTGCTCTGGTGGCCCTGCTGCAGCGGGGCTGGGACTGGGGGACCCAGCAGGCCCTGCCTGCCTCAGCAGTGCTGGGATTCTGTGATAATCTGGTTAATGCATTAATTCGCTTTACAAATATTTCAAGTAAATACAAACAGAAGTTATTCCTTTTTAAAAAAATCAAATATTTTACACACTTCCAAATCAGAAGCCACTGTATGACCTCACAAATTTGTAACAAGGTAAGTTCTTTTCCTTTTAAAATTTAGAATAATTCAAATTTATACAAGAAAGAGAGAGAGAAGAGTCTATCCCTATGTTTCCAGCTGGAGATCTTTATATTCAAATTGTCTTTCTAGATTTCTTTTTCCCTTTATATACATTTATTTGCAGTAGTTGTAATCATTATAAGTATTTCACAGTACTGAGGAAGCTTCAAGCAGTGATCAGTGATCAAGAAAAAAAAAGCTAGTTCCCCTTTCCAATGTTCAACCCCAAACCGTGCCACTAAACAAGCCAGATTTTTCATCTGCTGTCATGCTCCATTGCACATTCCAAAGAAATCTAGTATTAGAAAATGGAAGCTGATATCTCTGGCAGTCAGAAATCAAGTAGGCTTTAAATCTTTTAGGGAAATTATTTTGTGGAGACAGTGCTTTAGAAGGTGTGATAGCGCTACATGTTGCAGAATCCTCATTTGTTACCTATCACTTTGTCAAGTGTTTGTATACGTGGCTCCTATGTTACAACAAACTTGAAACTGTAACCAAAATGGGAATAACTGTGCTCGCATTAGAGATTTTGCCAAATCACTTTTGCATGACCTACTAATACATTTCATACTTTGCTGATAGACTACAGGGCACACCTCCTTCCTTTGGGAATGTCATCACTCAGTAAAATGCTAAAAACAGCTTCAGAGAGGATTTAGCATCACTAGTACTGTATGATTATTTCCTCTGTATGTATATGTTTGTGACAGTTTTGGCAGCTGCTTTGGAAAATTAACTGTACATTTTCCCTTGACATTTCCCTCCTATCATTGTCTAAAACAATGAGTTTTGGACAAAATTAGGTCCACGTAGGGCAATAGCTGTGTGGGTTCAGCTGAGATAAGACAGAAAAAGTTTTCTTCTGCTTGCTGCTACTGGCCCTGAAGCTGCCAAATCCCACTCCCTCTGCTGCCCTGAGCTCGGCAAACAGCCCCAGCCATTGTCAAGCACTGGGGGTCACTGAATTTGGCTCTGTGAATTAGAGCAGTGCAAATCTGACAGCACTCAAACAGCAAAGACCAAGGGGCAGGGCCATAAAAAATCTGATATCTACTGACCTGCTTATGTTCAGAATACAGAAATAGGTATCACTGGATGTGTGAAAAAAATTTCCCTTTGTGCAAAGGGTTCAAGAGGGAATTCAATCCTCTTTCTGAGAGACAATTTCACACAGTTCCTGGTGAGATAAAGATTGAGGCTCAAAATAGTTACAACACAGTCTAGAAAAAATTGAATTAGAGGCAAGGTAAGTGAAAAGGTCTTTTTTGTAAGCAGGAGAAATATACCCCTGAAATTGAAAGAAAAATATTGCTGGTCTGAAATTGGTCTGTATTTTTTAAATAGAGTTTAAATAGGACAGATTTGAACTGAGAGAAGTACATAAAAAATAAATCTAAAAATAGCCAGCCACTATTAGCAGCTGCCAAACATGCCTTGGAATTCTGATATAATTCAGTGTGGTCTGGAATGGACCCTGTACTGCAAATCACAGCCCTCAGGTGCCAAGGTAGTAATGAGATACGTCAGAAACTGTGCAAAAATTAAAAATCAGACAATACCATGGGCACACTGAACAGATATAGAATTAAGGACACTTGGAGGACTCCATTAGAGCATACTCTCTAGTGAGCTCTCAAGTGAGAGGTATTTGTCCTCTTTTGTCCCCTGGGCTCCTCTCCACACAGCCCTGTGATCCTGGGTGCTGGCGGGGATTTGAACTAGCAGAGTTCTGGGAATCTGCTGGCAGGCGTATTCCCTGAAGTTAGATTTGCTCAGCATCAAAGGAATAGGTTTGGTCTTCTCTCAGAACTGAAGTATGTTTTAGTTACTACTTGTGTTTCAGCATAGCCAGGGGAAGAAGTTGAGAACAAGGCCCCAGCAGTGGTAGACTCCTCTTCTGGATCAGCAACGTTCCACACAAATCAATATGCTTCATGCTTCCAAAGGTGATGCAAGGTCCTGGATCTTCTGAATCCTCCTTGTGCCTCCTTCAGAACCTTTCATTGCAGTTGAGTCTAGATTAATGAACATGTCAAGTGTCAGTGTCTCTTGCCCAACTGTATTGACTAGGGATATGATTCAAATGCCTAGACAAGGACATCGGCATAGCCATTCGGTTGTAGACATTTACTTACCTAGATCCAGTGGGGAGGCCAGGACACATCTAACTGCTCATCGAGGTTCTGTGTGTCATGTCTTCCAGTCCCGTGTGCTTCTTAGACTTCTTAAGGGATCTCAGATGGTAATAGATGCCTGTGTGTGAGCAGCCGAATTAAGTCCCAGCCCAAGTACATCCTGTCTGGTCTCTGGAGGGATCTTTGCCTTGCAGCAGGCCACAAATTCCATGTGAACTGAGTAACAGAATGTCAAATGAGAATCTCAAATGGCACAAGATAGCTAAGATTTAGGAAACTGAATTGACTTTTTAATCACCTTTGTGACAATGGTGCCACAGAGAGCTGCCTTGTCATAGACGCCTACAGTGTATGCACCTAAATTTAGGTGTCTGAATCATGTCTTATAAATGCAGTTTAATCACAGCACCAAGGCTGCTTTCTTTTTCTGGGTTGTAGCATCCATGACCCACTTGAGTTCATGATCTTAAGGAATACGGGCCTGGCAGTAAACAGTCAGGACCCTGAACTTCAGGAGGGGGATATTCCAGCTGTTGAAGGAATTATTAGATGGAATCCCCTGGGAAACTGTCCTTAAGGACACAGAAACAGAACAGAACTGGTAGCTCTTTAAGGATGGCTTTCTGAGAGCATAAGAACTCTCCATCCACCATCAGAAAAAATCAAGTAGAGAAGGCAGGATACTGGCATGGCTGAACAAGGACCTGCTAGTCAGACTGAGGGATAAGAAGGAAAAGTACAGACATAAGTGGCCTAGGAAAAATTCAGGGATTCCACGTGGACATGAATATGGAGATATGGATTTGAAAGCTGAAATATTAGGTGAATAAAGAATTGCTTGGATGGTCACAGCCAATGTGTTATGGTCAATGGCTCTATGTCCAGGTAGAGGCCATTCATGTGTGATACCCCCCAGGGGTCTGCTTTGGGATCAGTGCTCTCCAACACCTTTACCAAGGACTAGATAGTGTGGATTGAGTGTGCCCTCAGCAAGTTTTGCTGATGACGCAAGCTCATGGTGCTGCTGATAAAATAGAAGGAAGGGACACCAACCAGAGGTACCTGCACATGCACGAAAAGTGGGCCAGTGAGAACCTAATGAAGTTCAACAAGGCCATGTTCAAGGTGTTGCATTCAGATCAGGCAATCTCAGATATGAGAACAGAGTAGGAGAAGAATTCGTTGAGAGCAGCCCAGCAGAGAAGGGCTTGGGAGTTCTGATCAATGAAAAGCTGGACATGAGCCAGCAGTATGCACCTGCAACCTGGAAAGCCAGCAGCAACTGAACTGCATCAAAAGAGGGGTGACCAGCCAGCAGATGGAATGTCCTATCCAGAGTACTGCAGCCAAGTCTGAGGCCCACAGCATGAGAAGGATTCAGATCTGTTGGAGTGGGTCCAGAGGAGGGCTGCAAAGATGCTCAGAGTGCTGGAGCACCTCTCCTATGAAAAAAAGACCAAGAGAGCTGGGTTTGTTCTGTCTGGAGATGATTCTTCAGTCTAAACAATTCACTGTACAGCACTGTACATGACATGAATCATGCAAAGCTCCAGGTTAACTCCTTGGTATAGCACTCTGCATGGGATCTGCATATATATCCACATGTAAAAGCGTTCAAAAGAGTACAAGAGCTAGTATGAGCAAAGCTAGTTGCAATCAAAGAAATTCAGGAAACATTTCTGGTTGTTAAAAAAAAAAAGGCACCTTTTCCTGGCATTGTTTCCACACAGTTCATGAAACAAATCTCTCTTGCAGTGTAGTACTGTGTTGAAACAAGAGCTGATGCATACATTTCTTCTAACTTCTAGAAAGTGTTTTGAAGGTACTTAGCATAATTATTCTCATGTGACTCAAGTATGTACCAGACCTGGCAAGCTGTATCTCCTTCCCTAGAGATTTGCTGGGCAGACACATATTGAATCTTGAGTTATTTTCTGCTATCAGTGTGCAGCTTGTGGCTGCAATACCCTATTTCAGCTTAAAGCTGTAGGCAGTACTTCATGGAATTTTTATTTCTGCTGCTAGAGCTACTCATTTTTCACTGATGGAAAGGGCACTCAAGGCACCAAGAACTCATCTGCCACTGCTGGAGGGAAAAGGCCCATAAACACTTCCTAGTGTCAGGAGCTTTAGTTTTCATATCATAGTCTAAATGGCAGAAATTCAGCTTGCTCCAACATGGTATCTCATTGGAGCTGCCCCTGTATCTCCTGTCTAAGTCCTCCTGTATAGGGTCCTCAAAAGCCAGATCTATCATACCTGGCAGCTGGTCTGACACCTACCTCTAAAACTGATTCTGACTTCCAGGAATGGCTGCAAGTGGATGTCAGGTACCAGGTCACTGCCCAAGATGGAGAAGGCCAGCAGTAATGATGCAGGGACTGTCTGCCAGCAACAGCTGTAAGATGAACTCTGCAGCATCCAGTTAATGTGTGACCAATGAAGTATTTGTAGCAGGTTTGTGCTGTTGAAGGAAGCAGTGCAAGCCCTTGGTGTGGGATGGGATCTAGCCTTTCTGTGGACTTTCCCAGATGTAAAATATAATGCTGCCCCAGCGAAAGGATTGGATAGTTAATTATATTTTCCTAGACTGAGTTAACTGTATCTCCACCCTCTTTCAGTTTTCTTAAGTATTCCCCAGTTATGAGATCACAACTGTACACTAGCAAGATGTGAACTACTTCATATAAACCCAGGCTTTACCTCAACTGAAATTTCAAGAGTAAATTCTGGAAAAGGCTGGCTGGTTTTGTCCCCGTTGCTGCTTAATGTGGAGTACTTGAAGGTTGCAACTGTTGAAAGTAATGTAAAGTCATTGGAAACTGTTCTTGAAATAGTTAGAAAATGACAAGCAATAATCAGTAGGAGATGGTATCCGGTAATATTTGTGCTATTTTGCCACAGACATTCCCGTAAGCTTGAAGGAACCTGAAAGACCACTGGCTCAGTGAGCCTCAGAACTTTAGCACATTCTTTTCTTTAATTAAGAGCCTTGTAATGCGTTAAGAGTGCTACTGGAACTCTTTTTATTATAGCAAGAAAATACCTCTTCCCTGAAGAGCTTACAATTTACATAAGGCAAATGTTGTACATTTCCTGTGTGTTTTCTCTAAATGTACTATCTGTTGCAAATTTAGAATGGCTCAGTAGATGGGGCTGGAATTATTTCCCATTAAGTGAAAAGTCCCGTCAGGCTCCATATATTCAGCCAGCAAAGTGTTTGTGGGAAACCCTATTTTTAAAAAGGTTCTTTAAGAGGTGTTTGGAATTACTTGTGCTGCTGTGTCACAGAACTTGTGTATTGTAAACTCAATGTATTTTTCACACAGATTTTGGAAGATTCCTATCAGCCCCTGGGCTTTGAGCGATTTCTGAACTACAAATGAGCTTATATGTATAGCGTGAAGAAATGATAACCAGCAGCTGTCTTGTTAGTGGTTGCATGATCAGTCCTTCAGCTGCTACGCTAACTTTGTACACAAAGTCCAAGGACAGATACAAAATGCAGTCCTTACAGTTTCATATTCAATCAATTTGTTTTCAAAGTTAAATAAATAAACACTTTATGAAGAAACTTATTTTGTAAAAGGTCCTTTCAAAGCCAATTGAGCTATCCAGGAGCTGATGTATCTCTGGAAAGATTTCGAAGTTCCATAGCATGAGTAACATGCTGTATCTGCTCTGGGATCACTCTTTAAGAGAGAATTGGTGCTGATACACCTTGCCTGCCCCACTGTTACAATGAAGCCCATTTGCTCCTGCATTAGACATTGCGAAGAAACATTCTATGCCCTTTACTTTCTGGTAGGAATTAGCTTCTGTCTCTTTTTCTTCCAAGTTCCATGAAGACTTGAACACTTCAGTATTGTGAGAGCTGTCAGGCAGCAGGTACTACTTATAAGCCCAGTTTAGATGTCAGAGTACTCATTTAGACCTTGAGGAAATCTTAGGCCACATCAGGTTTCAAAAGCCAGTAAGGCCACTGAAGTATTTTAATGTATTCAGTCCAAATTTTGGAAATAATCCTCTAAAAATATAAGTAAGGACCACTGTGACCAGTGGCAGGCTGAAGCAATTGACCAAATCCTTTCCCAGAGTTTTTCTCCCTTACTCAGATTCTTCAGGGGACAATTCTGTGCCTTTGTCTCATATCTCTGCAAACAAACGTGCTCTTAAAGTATGTAACATGGTAAACTGTAGTGTAACTGATTATGGGAAACTTGCAGGAAAATTTTATATTTGCCTTTACATGGCTGTTTGCCAAAATCAGCAGGCATTATAAAATAAGTATGTAAAAGCCAGAAATCCTCCAAATAGGCATGCTCTTATATGCACACTGAGATAAGCCCAGAATAGTTATTAAAATGTGCTTTTGTCAGTTATGGTTCTAAACCACATCTTTCAATTATTACTGAGGGAAAAAAAAAACAAATAACAAAACAATGGTATTCCATAAATAGGGCTTTTGGATAAACCTTTGACATCCAGGATTACATGATTTAGCCTCTAATTTCCAACATCTGCTTTAGATTGACCAGCAGATATTGTCAATACCAATTATCCTGGGGCTTAGCAGCTAAATCATAACTGTGAATCTCGATGATTGCATGGCTCTTAGCCTCCAATTTCTGGGCTGTTATTAACAACACCACATTTAGTTGTGCCTAATAAAACTTGGTGTTTTATTAAATTTAAGGCATATGCAGATTTGCAACAATCTTGTTATTTTCTTTCTGATGTCCTTCAGCTGGATTATAGTACAGTTTGCATTGCTTTGCCCATTGGTGGGTGAAATTTTCTGTTAGTCATCCAAGTGAAAACCAACGCAGAGAACTCTGCATGAAGTTGACAGTAAAAAAATACTGCATGCAAGAAAAAGAACACGTGCTTTTAAGACCACTACTGATAATGTTGACACCTCTTCCAAAGCCCAAACTACTTCTGGAGAGCAGGGCTTACCTTTGTCTGCCTACTGCTTCTCTCCACTGTATCTTTCTCCTTTCACTGACTGTGAGGCACTCCGCAGCTCTGCTGGCAAAAGGGACAATAAACCACACACACACAAGGACACAATGACTTTGTTGTCAGCAATAGCATTCACTAAAGACTAGAGGCATGATAAAAACAATAAGGTTCATGGCTTTTTGCCAGCTGGCAAATATAAGCTTTTGTAGGACTTGATCTGTAGGATGAACGTAGAACTAAACAAAACATCTCTCTTCCCTGTTCTTAGCTAGATAAGAGCCAACATTTGAACAGTTCAACTAGTGGAAAATGTCCTAATAGGAGTTAAAAGTAGTAATGTTCATAGAGGTATCCTCTTCTTCAGTGAGCAGTCATCAGATTAGAGAGAAGTGTTGCTCAGGGTAGGTTACCTCCTTTGGAGTATGAGCTTATGTACAATCAATGAATGTACAGCTGTTATAGTTATGAAGTATACCAGAGAGCCTGCCTACGTAGCAATTACATCAAAGCAGAAAAGATAGGATTCTTACCTGTATCCTAGGCTCACTTACGAAACTTCAGCAAAGCGGATCTCCAGAAGAGATCCTTCCCTAGTGGCAGCCAGCTCTTAAATAGGTCTAGGAGAGGTGCAGCCAGGCTCCATCCCTTTGGCAGCACAGCTGAATTGCCTTCACCTGTGCTCCCGTGGCTGACTCATGGCTCACTCAGGTGATCAGTCAGAGGTTCAGGATGTGATTCAGCAGTTCCCACACAGCTTGCAAGGAGGAGATCCTCCACTTCACGCTGAAGATCTGTAACATGTCTTATTTCTACTGACTTTCTTCATATAGAAACTGCAGCTCCCAACTTGTAAATCCTGTTTCTCAGAGGTAGCCTTTGGATATGTATAAGCACCAGAAGCATACTCAAGAACTAGGAGTCACATCCATGTCCCCCATATGGCTAGTGATGAAAGAAGCTATTGAGGACTTTTCCTGCTGCCAGAAGTGTCATGGACTATAGGTTGAAATTTTATTTTCCATCAGTCCTCAGGACCATATTTAAGAAACTCTCATTGGTGGTGTGTATGTCAAATGCTGTTCCCATGCTTCTCTAAGTGGTTGATTCCAGGTCAACAGTTTCAAGAGGTGAGAGAGTTCAAATCTCCTGAGAAGAGAAATGTACAATCCATGAAGGTGGAAAGATTGGGTTATGGAACAAATCCTCATCTGGATGAAGTAATCTGCTCAGATGTAAGCATTTTTACATATGGAGGAAGTGTAGCTAGGGGCAGAAATAATCCACATTTTTAATTTAACTTCATGCTATGTCACAATTCCCATGTTCAATACAACATTACAACTCTCTGCAGAAGATCATGTATCTTCATGATATCTGGCTAGAAAATTAAAAGAAAAATATTTTAACTCATTTTTTTTTATGCAACATTGCATACTAAGACCTTGCTTTTCTCTAAAGCATAGCAAAAAAGAAGGAAAGTATAATTAGATGTCACAGTGCTGTGATTGTTTCTAATTCATTGGACGGATTAGTTGTCAGCAGGATAAATGAATAATCCATAGACAACTCATATTACCATATTTATGTGAGTGGGATTTCTAAAAGAAAAACAGTCAATAAAAATGAAATTGAAAATGAAAATATTGCTACAGAACAATATTACAAATGCATGCTACAAGTGAAAATAAGATGTAATAAAAAGTGAAATGTGAAGGCTTTTAGATCTTCCTAGTATTGTTTATAAGTTATATTGTTTATATGCCAAGTATCAGCTCAGCATTTACAGCACGCTCTCTAATTTAATCTGGTTTTTATTTAGACATGAGATGAGTGATATGGGTATAAAATGAGTAGATCTTAAAAATATATATACTAGTTCTAATAGCAATGGAGAAAACAGTTTGTTATGCTTAAGCAAGATGCACAGTCTGGAATAGATGTGGGCATTTGTAGAAGGCATTTTGAAAAAAAAAAGGTCCCATCTCCTCAACAGGGAGGACATTATTTTTAGAAATCAGGAAGGAGAAGAGGAGATGATCTAGTTATCTAACAGGATATAAATAAGAGATTTTGGGGAGATAAACAATGAGCCAACCTAATCAGAAGGGAATAATGTTCCCGTGTTAGACCAATAGGAATTCTCCCCATTTCCCCCCAGTGACATGAAGGAGTGACAAGTAAAATTTACACAGTGCCACATGGGATATCCTGTATACATCACATTTCTTTGACCAGATTTTGTCTTCCTGTTCTCAGTGAGTTTGCTTTACTTACCACACCAGAAGGTTAGGCCAGTCTGGGAGGCTTGAGATGATACACCACACAAAATACCAACTACTCAGAAATATCAGAAGTTGGATAAGAACTGCTGAATTGGTGTTTGTGTTGAAAACTGAAGACTAAGAAGTCTTAAATGTGGGAAGGGTGTAGTGCTTCACAGACATGGAAAATACCAATTTCCAAATACCCATCAGTCCACGTAAACACTTCTGTAACTTAGTGGCCACATAATCATGGTGGTGAGCTCATAGGAAGAAGCATGAGATTATGATCTGGAGGAAAAGCTGTAGGAAGTCTGTATACAGAACACATCAGTCAGTAAAACAACTCTAAAAACACCCTGGGGTTAACACCCCTCTGCATGCATGAATCTCCAGACACTAACAGAATTTCTAGGGGACACTCGTAGAGGAGCCTTGCAACCATAATGCTGAATTAACTTGCTTCAAAACCTTATGTCCTTTACATTAAGAGTACTGTCTGCTCTAAACACAGCAACCCTAAGGCTGAACACACTCACAGATGGGCAAATCAGGACCACTGCCAGCAAGAGCCACAGAATTTCCTTAATGAAGAAGGAGTGAGTGACAGACTCCGTCCTGGATACATCCTGTGAGTAGAGCATGTGACCCATATTTGAGTCTTATTCTGTAATGGTAAAAGGCTTTTTGAAATCCATTTAAGTCTATTAGTGCTCCCAGAAAATTGTGCACTCACTCATTTTCTCAAAATAAATATCCTGGACTTAATGGAGCATAGTGTCCTTTTACTACCAGTACCCAAGAACTCCAATTATGCATTATTAAGCTATTAAACGGAACTGAATGAAAAGAACTGGCACTTACTGGCAAGATCACTCTTCTAAAATGCCCTGTAATAAGTTGTGGAAAAATTAGCAAGCAGTTATAAAACTACCATCTCCTACCAGCTGCTATCATTTGGCTTTATCTAACTGTTAGAACATATTATTTATGAGCACATCTTATGCATGCACACATATACACAGAGGGACACACATACAGAGCTCTACCTGTACTGTCATACAATGAGCCAGCTGGGGATTTCAACCAGCCAGCTCACACTCCTGATCATGTTTTAGGCTTTCTCTTATGAAGACAACATGTCCTCTGGAGGACAATGAAATTCACAGTAAAATCAGATTGCATGTAGGGTTCTACAAACTTCAGAACATAAAGCAAAAACCTTCCTGAGCCCCCAGAGAGCTGACAGTGCTGACAGTGTATTTTGGTTACAAATGAATCAACACTGGAGCTTGTATCTGTTGCATGTAGGAAGTATGAAAATGGGGAAAATCAGACATGATAAAATTTTTACACTCTCGTAAGGTAATACAATCCATAACCTCAGGAATTCCAAGTAAAAAAGCTGATGACAGCACAAAAGGCTTCAGGGAGGTGCAAACGTCACAAAAGATCTCTAATGCCACATCTGCTGGAAAAAAATCAGAAAATAACAAAGTTGTTGCTGATTGCAGAGCTAGCCTATTCAGCCCCTTCTTTGTACCTCTTAGAGTGTGTGATTGTTTCATGCTAATGGGCCTGTTGGTGGCACAGAAGACCATTACAGAGTGCTGCCCACATCGACAGTCCATCGTTGTGATCTTTGCTTCACACCAGATCTACGGTAAAGCAGTGCCTTCATTGTGTGGCCTGTTCAATGCTCAAGTGCATTATCGTATATTTTATTTCTTTTATTACTCTTTCTATTTTTGTTTTTCAACATTGATCTTATGGGTGACAAGCACTCCCGAGTTATGACTGAGTTGCTTCCTCTCTTTCCTTAATGCATGCATCAAAAGTACATTTGGATCTGCTTGCTCCAAACAGCCATGGTACAAACTGAAAAGAGCAAATAAAAATCTTTATTAATTATGCAGAGCTGATGGTGGAGCTGAGCCAGTGCTACTATCCCTCTCTATATTTAGCAGCACAATGTAGTCCATCTCCATGGAGTTTTATCGTCAAGGAACCCAAGAAGAAAACAGTCTCCCAAAAGGTTATAATAAAATACAATCTATCCCTCACCACATAAAGTTGTAACCCACAATAGCAGTGCTGATTACACCAACACACAGTTACAGATTTATGACAGCAAATACAGTTTTTTCCACTCGGTGATGCATTCAGCACCCATTTAATGCAGTGTTGATACAGACTATTGCTGCCCAAGGCACCGAGGCATAATCTGTTCATCTGTCTGACTCAAGGAGAAGCACTGAAGCCTTTCAGATGCCATCAGACAAGAAATTGGCTACAGCTACAGTTTCCAAAACATCACACAAAGGATTTGATGCCCAAATCCATGTTTACATTCTTTAAATATTAATAGTCTGATCACACGTTTGCTGAGCATTTGTGATCTCTGCCACTATTGAAATCACAGCATCACAGAATTGCAGGGGTTGGAAGGGACCTCTGGAGATCATAAAGTCCAGGTTCTCTGCAATAGGTGGGGAAACGAAACCACCTTCATCCACATTTCTTCACATACATGAACATGTCAGCACGTTTGGTCTAGGAAAATGAATGAGGCTTTAGGGATTTTTTTTCTGGCATAGGGTTAGGATGATGGCTGATACAGGGAGCATCACGTAAAATAACCTCGTCTTATTCCAGCAGCCTTTGATCCTTCTTTCCTAAAACAAAATCAATGAAATACATTTGATCGTTTTTTAAGCTGAAGCTCCTGATAATCACAACCAAATATCACATAATCGAGGCTCCTGGAGAGGTGCTCTTGGCAGAAAAACGGGACCCTGATGGGGGCAGCTCTTGTCACCCGCTAGGGCCCGGCCCGTTGCCCGCGGCGGGACGACGCAAGATGGCGCAGCGGGAGCGCCTCGGTGCGGCGGGCCGGTGCCGGAGCCCAACCCCGCTCCTCCCGCCGCTGGGCCGGGCTGTGCGTATAGATGCCTGTGCGTACGGAATGTACACTGCTGCGATTGAAACGCGGGGAGAAAAGGGTTGTTCAGAAGACAGGACAGATGACAGACAGAGGAGTAGCGGCGGGCAGATTAGGAATTAAAGAAAACAAACGAATCAGGCAGCCCTGGGATCAGTTTCGTGATGCTGAGTCACCGCCCGGCAGCCCAGGCACTGGGGTGACTCTGCTCATTTTCAGCTGCGTTTTCCACAGCCCTAAGGGAGGTGGGGTCTCCCCTCTCTGCGTGCTCTTATGGAAGATGGTGAAACACTAATGCAAAATTATGATTAAAGCCCGATACATAGCAAAGGGCAGAGATGAGCTGATATTCCAGGAAAAGGAGCAG